CCGCACCTCTTTGAAAGGCACCAGTCAGTCTGGGTCAAGGGGGCCCTTCCCTCCTGCCTGGGGAGGGGCCTCCGTGGGGAGGCTCTGATGTATCCGAGCCCTTAAAATGCACCAAAGGATGTTTGGACCGAGGCAGGGCCTGGAAATGGAGAGCCCCCCAGTCTACACAGCAGGAAGGGGAGCTAATTGCATTGGACTCCCCTCAACTTTCTGTGCAAGGTCCACCCTCACCCCACTTGAGAAAACGGAGGAGACTTGGCAGCTCGAAGCCCCGACCTTCCCCGAGGATGAGCCCCCTGAGAGTCGCAACCTTGCCCAGCGCCCTGACCCGGGAAAGGCCGCCTGGCTCCAGCAGCACCGGGAGGAGACTGCCTGCGAGAGCTGTGCAAGCGACCCCCCTTCAGGCAACTCCACCCCAGCCCCGCTTGACTGCAACCTCATGAGACCCCACGCCTGAGCCACCAGCCAAGCCACTCCCAGCTGTGAGATAATAAATGTTTATTATTGTTTTAAGCCACCAAGTTTTGAGGCGATTTCTCACACAGCAATAGATCTTGCAACAAGACTGTCCCTCAGACAATGAAATGCCTCTGTGCTGACCCAAGGTCGGCATCCTCTCGGGAAGGACAGAATGGAAGCTTCCAGTAAAGTCAGGAGCTGCGCTGGGCACGCCACTCACAATCATGCCAGTGGCCTCTAGACACAGCGTTTCAGAACAAAATAGAGCAAAACACTCTGTAAATACAAGCAGCAACAAAAGACCCAGGAATAAGCTCAACAAGAAATACGCAAGGAAGCAGAAATGTCCTGAGAGGCACAATGGACACTCGGAAGAGTGGAGCGAAAGGCTAGTTCTTGGACAAGGAGACCTAACGTTACACAAAGATGGTGATTCTTCCTAAATAGAAATAGAAACAAAGATCCTAAAAGTGATTTGAACCACAGAAGACCCTAATAGCCAAAGCAATCATGAGAAAGAACAAAGCTGGAGGCACCACACTGCCCGATTTCAAGCTGTAACACAAAGTTATAGTGATCAAAACCACACTGACATAGGCACAGGCACACAGGCCAGCGGGCGGAAATGGGAGCCCAGAAATGAACTCATGCACACAGGGTCAGCTAATTTTTGTTGTTGGTGTTAATCCTCACCCAAGGATATTTTTCCATTGATATTTAGAAAGAGTGGAAGGGAGAGAGAGAGAGAGAGAGAAACATCAATGTGAAAGAGACACATCAATTGGTTGCCTCCCCCACACCCGGGGCCAGGGATCGAATCTACAACCCAGGTATGTGCCCTTGATCTGGAATTGAACCTGAGACCTTTCAGTGCAACCACTGAGCAACACTGGCCAGGGCTTGTCAACTAATTTTTGACAATGGTGCCGAGAACAGATGATGGGAAAAGGACAGTGTCTTCAATAAATTGTGGTGGGGAAACTGGATTCCACAGTGAAAGACTGAAATGGGACCCCTGTCTGACACCCTCACAAAAACCTCCTCAAAATGGATCCAAGACCCCAAACCAGAAGACTCCTAGAAGAAAGCAGGGCGAAAGAGCCTGCATGTGATCTTGGCCATGAGTCCTTGGCTAGGACACCAAAGCACGGGCAATGCCAACAAAAATAAACAGTGAGACCACATTAGACCAAAGAGCTTCTGCACAGCCACAGAACCATCAGTAAATTGAAAGGGCACCTACAGAATGAGAAAAATCACAAACCATGTATCCCATAAGCAGTTAACATCCAAAATGTGTAAAGAACTCATACCACTCAATAGTAAAAACAAATAATCCGCCGAAACCGGCTTGGCTCAGTGGATAGAGCATGAACTGAAAGGTCCCAGGTTCGATTCCGGCCAAGGGCATGTACCTGGGTTGCGGGCACATCCCCAGTAGGAGATGTGCAGGAGGCAGCTGATCGATGTTTCTCTCTCACCAATGTTTCTAACTCTCTATCTCTCTCCCTTCCTCTCTGTAAAAAACCAATAAAATATATTTTTTTTAAAAAAACAAAAAACAAATAATCCAATTTTAACTGGCAAAAATTTGAAGACATTTTCCCAAAGAGGACATGCAGATGGCCAACAGGTGCATGAAAAGATGCTCAACATCACTAATCATCAGGAGAAAAGCAACTCAAAGCCACAGTGAGAGGTCACCTCACACCTGCTGAAGGGCTGTCATCAAAAAGACAAGCCCTGGCCATTGTGGCTCCGTTGATTGGAGCGTCATCCCGTTCGCTTCAAGGTAGCGGGTTCGATTCCCAGCCAGGACATCTACCCAGGTATGGGTTTGACTCCCAGTCAGGGTGCATACAGGAGGCAACCTATTGATGTTTCTCTCTCTTCCTTCTTCTCTCTAAAATCAATTTTTAAAAAAACTCTTAAAATGAAAAGACAAAAATAACAAGTGCTGGTGAGGATGTGGAGAAAAGGGCACCCTTGTGCACTGTAGGTGGGCATGCAGATCGGAGCAGCCACTGTAGAAAGCTGTAGGGAGGTTCCTAAAAAAATTAAAAATAAACCTACCTTAGGACCCAGCAATCCCATTCTGAGTATTTATCTGAATGAAATTAAACCAGGCTCTCTGAGCTACCTGCACCTCCACAATCACAGCAGCATTATTCACAGTCGCCAACATATGGAAGCAGCCAGTGTCAACAGCTGAATGAATAAAAAGATGCTAACGCCCTGGCCAGTGTTGTTAAGTGGTTAGAATGTTGGCCTGTTGACCAAAGGGTCTCGGGTTCAATTCCTAGTCAAGGGCACATACCTGGGCTGCAGGTTCGATCTCCGGCTGTGGTCAGGGCAGGTGCGGGAGGCAACCAATCGATGTACCTTTTTCACATTGATGTTTCTCTCTTTCTCTCCCTCCTTCCCTTTCACACTCTCTAAAAATCAATGGGGCCCGGCCGTGTGGCTCGGTGGTTGAGCATCGACCTATGAAACAGGTGGTCACAATTTGATCCTGTCAGGGCACCTGCCCCGGTTGCGGGCTCGATCCCCAAATAGCGGGTGTACAGGAGGCAGCTGGTCAACGATTCTCTCTCATCATTGATGTTTCTCTCTCCCTCTCCCTCTCTGAAATCAATAAAAATATATTTAAAGCCGAAACCGGTTTGGCTCAGTGGATAGAGCGTCGGCCTGCGGACTGAAAGGTCCCAGGTTTGATTCCGGTCAGGGGCATGTACCTTGGTTGCAGGCACATCGCCAGTAGGAGATGTGCAGGAGGCGGCTGATCGATGTTTCTCTCTCATCGATGTTTCTAGCTCTCTATCTCTCTCCCTTCCTCTCTGTAAAAAAATCAATAAAATATATTTTTAAAAAATATATATATATTTAAAAAAATAAAAATCAATGGAAAAAAATATATATTCTCAGGTGAGGATTAACAAAAAAAGATGTTACACACACACACACACACACACACACACACACACACACACTGGACTATTACTCAGCCATGAGAAAGCAGGAAATCCTGCCATTTGCAAGAACATAAGTGGACCTTGATATGCTAAGTAAGATATATTGGACAGAAAAAACAAATGCTACATGATATTGCTTACATGTGGAATCTAAAAAAAAAAAAGCCAAGCTGTTAAAAACAGAGAGTAAATGTATGCAGGGGTTGGGGGAATTGGGATGTCATTTAAGGGTATAAACTTGAAACACTACCTAATGCCCAGCATAGTGACTGCAGTCCACAGTCCTGTGTTATAACTCAGACTTGCTAAGAGACGATTCACCTGTGAGTGACAGAAGTGCTAGCCAACCTACTGCAATGTCACTGCTCCAAATCAACACGCTGGTCTTTTTGTTTGTTTGGTTTGTGTTTTTTGTAGGGTTTTTTGTGGTTGTTAATCTTTACTTGAGGATATTTTTTCACTGATTTTTTGAGAGAGTAGAAGGGAGGGGGAGAGAGAGAGAGAGAGAGAGAGAGAGAGAGACACATTGATTGGTTGCCTACCACACGCACCAACTGGGGCTAGAGATAGAACCTATAACCCAGGGACATGCCCTTGGCCAGGAATTGAACCCATGACCCTTTGGTGGGAAGTCCAACACTCTAACCACTGAGCCAATGTTACATGTCAGTCACATCTTATTCAGTAAATTAAAAAAGAGCCCAGGTGGCATAGCTCAGTGGTTGAGCATCAACCTATGAACCAGAGGTCATGGTTTGATTCTGGTCAAGGGCACATGTCTGGGTTGAGGGCTCAATCCCCAGTGGGGGACGTGCAGGAGGCAGCTGATCAGTGACTCTCTCTCATCAATGATGTTTCTCTCTCTCCCTCTCCCTTCCTCTCCGAAATCAATAAAAATATATATTTTTTAAAGAGAGTAAACAGGATACTAGTCTTACCAACTATGAAAACACATCGTAAAGTGACTACAAGAGTGTGGTTGTGGAGCAGGATAAGGTGCGGCGAGGAGAGTGCGCAATAGGCTGAAAGGCACACAGCGATTCATGCATGATGACCGATGGCACGTCAGGTTACTGGGAAAGAGGGTTCATTCCACAAATTCTGTTAAAACTGCTTCATTCTAGCAATTCTGTTACAACCGG